CATCTAATGTTTTAAATGATATTCAATGATCTTATGGCGATCGATAGATTTTCAGACAATGTGTTATTTAGCATGCATTGTAGAAAACCTGAAAGTTTAGTCATCTTGTTGACCGTACGTAAAACGAATTCAGCAGACGTCACTCGTATTTATATATAGTTCCGTTCTTCAAAACGGGTTTGCAAAAATACATATGCTTGACTGGCCGAGGCAACAATTAGTATGCTTCTCGCAGGTGCTCAAGCTATGACATTTAACGCAAATTTTTAACATTGCAGCTTGCAAGGTTTTTTTTAAGTTTCTTTATTGATTACGATATATAAAAACATTCAAGAGTTTGTAACGATAATAGTAGACTATCTTTTTTTTAATTACAATTTAGAGCATAGTTGAGTATTTTGCTAGCTCAGAGACAACAATTTCTCATGTCGTTAGTATATTTCAGTTGCGTATTTTTTATACCAGTTCCTTCAAGAAAACATTTTTTGTAAACGGACTTTTTTTTATTTGCATTTTCAGTTGAGTTGATAAAATACATGGACGCCTGTTAAAAATCCATTGATAATCAGTCAATTGTATGAATATTTACCAATGAATCTCATAGAGAATAATTGTTTTACGTATCAAAATTATATTTAACAAAATTCAGAACAAAATTCAGACTCGAACCGTGGTGGCACTGACCTCTCCGACATCAAAGACACGTAGAATACATAATTAGGCAGTTCGACATCATCTCTTCCAAGGAGTTTCAAACACATTGCTGTCGCACATACAAGTATAAACGTGACTTTTTGTTTGATTGTCCGCAATAATTATCTTGCAAGTGAGTGGTGGTACATGCTTCTATCGCGTTTAAATATGCTCAATGTACTTGAATTTTAAGATCAGCTAGCGAGGACAGCGGTTACTGGGAAGGATTATTTGGCAGTAACTCAGAATCAAATGACTCGTGGAGCTTCAGCTTATGTCTTTTTAAATGTCCAAGGAAACCGTGAGTTTTCATGTCATAGGTGTATAAATGGCAGTTTTCATCGAATTTTGCTTCCGCGAAGAGATACTTTTCTTTTTTAATGATATCACCCAACTCGATTTTCTTTTAAATTATTTTGTCGTGCAATTTTCCGAAACACCATTTTAGATTTTTAATAAAAGCATAAGTTTCGTAAGAAAAATCTACTTTACTCTGTAGGTGATATTTTTAGATTCAATATTTAACCGCATGTTATTTTCTTCTCTGATTTATTAATTTAATATCGTTATTAATAGGTAAAAAAATGAAAAAAATGTTAATACATACCGTTAATCAAGCTCATAAAAATATTTTTAAACAAAAAGAGCGAATTAAGTAATAGGAGAAATTTCTTTCAATGTTAAAAGATATAAGTCAACATTGTATATAAAAATCACTTGCAAATATTTTAATTTAATCTGTGAATATTACTCTATATGTATTAGAATTTATTCTGGTGGAAAAAAACTAAAACTTTTACTTCAACAAATAGTTTGAATATTTAGACATAAAAAAAGTTATTAAGTGAATACCGATTAGTTCGAAAATTCTTTTACTATGTTGAAATAATCTACCTGCAACAGCGCCTACATTTCTCAAGTCGAAAGTTCACATTTTTCCAGTACATTGTGATGTGTTGTAATGATCTGACATCTAAGTAGTAACCAACAAGAACAATACCATTTTGATTTTCAAATACCTTTGCGTATTATGTAATTGAAGTACTCATAAAATCAAAACATGCCTGCCAATGAATGAATAGTAAATTCTAGAAACCGTAAAACTCTTTGTAAAAAAGTTTTAATTTTTTGCCTCTATGTTATTACATCAAGGTTTGCATAAGAAAAAAATAAAACCGAATGAGATTCTTTGTTGGCTTTGATTAAGTGGAAATCGTACTTTTTTATAATGACTTGTATTGTTTTTTGGTACAATATTATACCGAGGTTTTTTCTATAGTTACGTCTGAGAGAAATTGAACTTGGGAATCAGGTTTCTTTGCTTTTTAATTCACTAGCTATGCGTTTGTTGATCTCAATCACATATAAATTCCGCACTCGTAATTAGGTTATAAACCTTTTCGAAAATATTTTGCGCAAACAACTATTTTATTATGTACTTGACCTGTAACTTATGGAATTAATTTAAACTATAGTATCTATAGTACTGATTAGTTATTCGTGGTCTCTTCAAATTTATCATGACTATCCATTTTGATTCATGAATAGCATTTTTTCAATTTTTAACAATATAACACCTTTCACCGCGGCAATTTTACATCTACTTAACTGAATATATTCAGTTAACAATGCGATACGGCTACATTTGTGATTAGAAAGCTCATAATAATTTCAAATCAGTTTAATTTATAACAACACACATTCGACTTTTAATGCTAAACTTATAATCTATTTAAATTTATGATGATGAACCAGACAATGACACGTTAAGTTAGGTGCGCAAAAAGGTTACGACAAAATGAAATTGCAGCAGCAGTGTCAAGCAAATATCGAACTACGTAACAAGCTATCCTAACTTTCTCATTGAGCCTCGAGCAAATAAAAGAAGCCCTACTCTGATATGAAGTTTTTATGTGTACATACAACTATAAATACCGTTTGTAGTAGATTCTCATAATATAAAAATTGTTGCAAGTAATCCGAAACTTCACCAATATAATTCTTATACTTGTTCACATAAATTTAATTTTTTAATTTATTTAAAGGTATTTTATTATTTTTTGTTAAGCTCAGATATGGTACTAATCTACAGTTTGTTCTATTCATAATAATAAAAAGGGATAATTTGAAACCATTTACTTATATACAATAAAATTTTTCTTAACCATAGTGTACTTTTTTAAAACAATATTACGATATTGATTTAATTTATTTGGGATAAATTTTTACTACTCATAGCATAAAAATTGAGTGATCCTTAAGAAACTTGTTGCCGAAAAATTATACGATGTCATCATAATAAAATTCACTGTTTTTAGCATAAATATTTTAATCTGGCATTTTTCTCATATAGGGACAATATTCTCTATAAAAAGATCTTGTGTAGACATATTTGGAACGAAATAGAAGGCGTAGTTTCAATTATTTGGTAATGTAACGTTGATTGTGTGACTATGTAATTATACGTGATACATCATTGAACTGCAAAAACAGTGCTTTTTAAAACACTTTTACCTGGTATTTTTTTTAATTCTTATTTTCTCGAAGACATTACAGAAGACATCACTCATTGCCAGTCTTTTTTTGGTATCTATTTGTAACTTATCGCATTCACGTCTCTAAACAGAATTTGGAATTTCTCGACAAAGCGCTGATTCTTAGTGAAATCGGTCACCAAGGTCTTAGGCGCATACTATGCTTATATCGGTAAATCTGCTTTCACCTCGGCGTGCACCCGCAGTGAAAGTGATGAGCAAGTATTTGACGAATTTATGCCTTTATCGTTTCGGTACCGTTCTTAAAGTTCTTAATAGTTTTCAGTAGTTCGTTGTCACGACTGGATAGACAGGAGACAATTACTTAGCGCTTTCTCATAGGCATAAAGTAGGTATTTTAGGTATTTGAATCGATAGCAAAAAATTATATTTTATCTTCAAATATATTAATCACATCACGTCAGGATGATACTAATCGTTGAAAACTCATATCAAAATAACAATTTTTATTTCATAAGAACAACAAAAGCAGGAATTCGGCTAGCTCATTCATTTTCCTTTCTTTTTCTCTTTTTTTAAATAAATACCACTTGTTACTAATGAATAAAATGTTAGATTTGGCATTGCAATGTTGAACTAATAACGTAATTTTCTATTCATTCCTGCGATACATTTGCGGATATGAAGTCATATCGAGATTAATTTAATTATAACTTTAATTATAATCGAGGAAATAAGTAAATTAATAATAGAAACATGCCAACATTGATCGCATGACAGTATGCTTACATAGTTAACCCACTTTTCGTCGCTTGGTGTTATTTTCCGTTTCATTCCTTATTTTCTACGTAGTTTCATGAAATCGTTCATCAAGTAACTCCATCTTTTTTCTATGTCATTCTTCAAATGGCGTACCTGCACAAGTTGGGAATTCACGTGTAGGTGCCTACTGTACGTGTAGGCAGACAGTAGTTTGACCGTATGATTTCACCCAATATATAAATCGTTCACGCAAATATATGTTTTGGAATATTTTAGATTCTCTACAAGCCCGAACAATTTAGTTAGACTGGATTGTTTGATATAATTAAATTAATGAATGTGATAACATTTGCTTTCAATTATTAAAATTACTTTAAATTCTTTTATTTTAAATCGGACCACCTTTCAAAGTTATTAGTAGCTTCAGGAAATTTCATTCATATTGTAAAAAAATTGTAGATTAATCTTCTATATTATCGGGTTTGATACTTTAGCGTTTTTATAAATATCTCGCTGTCTAAGTCTCCAGCGTCAACATTGTTATTTTTTTCTCCTGTTTTGTAATTATCAATTTCTATAAAATATTGTTATTCAATCCTAGTTTTCTTTTGAACAATGTTTAGTGAATTAGTCGATTGTTGATCTAAAGACAAATAAATCTCTATTATTTTATCTAATCATATTACGACACTCGACAGTTTTGTATTCCGTACATACATTATGTTCTCTAGTTGACAGATGCTTTTTATCTTCTACTATTTATTACATAATAACAAAGCTTTATTAAATTGCAGGCTTTATAAAATTAATTTTAAAAATATTCTATTCTAGAATATACAGAATGTTTAAAGTATCTTAATCAAGTTTTATTTCTAAAAGTAGTAAGTTAGTTATAAAAACATAAAATTATACAAATCAAAAAATAAATTAACAATCATATTAAAGAAACTATTTACAATGCTTTATTAGTTGAAAATTTGTGGATTAGAAAATTTTGTGAATGGACTTTAATGAAACTATAGTGCAAAGATTTAAAAACATTCTATTTTATTTGTATTCATAAATATATACATAGCATGTTCGATATCAATAATTCCAATCATTAAAGTTTCATATAAAGTATATGTTATTGACTTATATTTGTCAGTACACGTTTTAGACGAGAAAGATCAGCGTGTATCACAAAATTACCATATACAAATTGATGAAATTAGAACAACTCATTTATATTGTTCAGTAAACAATATTTTTTGCAAGAAAACTATAGTAACTAGAACGGTACCAATAAAAATACTACAAAAATATAAATTCCAATACTACTTAAAAAACATTTTAGTCTTTTTATGGTGATTGATACATTCTACGTCGTTTTAATACATGTTCTAACCAATTGAAAAAAACTATATATTAATACTTTTTTATTTGGAGTTCATTTTTCACATTAGTATGTGATTGACTTCAGTTGAAATATATCATTTGATTTTGTAATCTATTGTAATTTATTTTCCAATCCTTATTGATAATTTTCGGTTTTTACATTTTTCGAAAATTCTATAATACATGAAAGAATATCCTATGCATAAAGTATACAACCGATTACAACTTCGCGGTATATTTAATAAATATAGAAAACAAATGTGACTAACTACCAGTAAAATTTTACTATCAATTGAACATGTGTTCAAATAATATTTTATTTAACATATAAAATATAGTGCAAGTTGTATCGATCATTTTTCCCTTTTTTTTTTAAATGTACTTGGTTAATATGCTTTCACTTATATGTATAATTCTAACACTACGTTTTGCAATAGTTCATTTAGCATTTATTTTGAAAGATCAACGAATGTTTTTCATAATAATACAAAAATAATAAAAGCAAGGCTACAAACTGGTAAATTTCTTTTATTTAAAGATAAAGTATATAATATAATACAATATTCATTTTTAAATGATAAACTTAATAGAAAATTTTGTATTAATTCGATTCAGTGAACGCCATAAGTAGAGGCAAAAATTTCGGAAAATCAGTTTTCTCAAAGAAGATGGAAAAAACCTTTGCTGCATTATAGAAAACTTTTCAATAAGATAATGTCTAACAACTATAATTTACAAATAGTGGATATAAATAAATACAGTGCCGTAGTTGCTTGAAAATTAAGTTGAAAAAATTTAGAGAAGATTGATTTTCCGACGTGCTATAAAATGTAGCCTAGAATCACTTAAACTAAAATTTTTTTATCACCCAAATGAATAAAGAAAATAAATATTTTGTCTTCATTGATTAACGGTATACAAGTTTCATTTCATATCGTTATTAAAATGCATTTTTAGTAAATTTTCCAGGCTTAAAATGAAATAAGAAAGTTTCTATGCAAGACTAAACAATTGAATTTCAATTGCCTGCTAATTTTTTCTGTGTATTGTAGGAAAAGTCGTAAGTCTCATTTTTATGTTTTTTCACTCATTCACTTATGAGATACTAGAATAGGTATTTTTGTAAATATAGTTTTGTTTATGGGTGTAATATGTTTGGTTAGGCATGTATGTATAGAACTATGAACTGATAGGATAGACGAAGACCTCTAGTATCTGGATTAATTTCATATGCCCACATCAAACTCACTGTTTGCGTTTTTTCTGATTCCGCTCCTCCTGAAAAACAAAGAAAAAATTAAGTTCAATGTTTAATAAAACCAATCATTAGATCAATAATATTTATAATTCATAAAACCAACCTTTTGAGTAAGGATGATGAGCAAATGTCGGAAAACATTAACAAAATCAAGGAACAGATCAAGAGAGTGAGCGATGTAGTCTTTGCTGCCCATTCGGTTTTTCTCAATTATGTATTGTGTATCATAGATAATGAAGCCACACATGACAAAGAGGCCAAGATAAAGGTGAATTTGATAAATCATTTGAGATCTGAAGAAGATGTTGGCTAATGAAAACAAAACCAACATGTTAAGAGCACTGATTAAAGTGCCACCAAGGTACAGCCATTGGCCTCGTTGAGAAAGTAGAGAAGCAATGCTGAATGATACAAAGACTACAGTGGTACCTGTAAAAAATCATTAATCGTGAGCATTGAAAATAACTGCTAGTTAAATAACAATTTTTTTAATGAAAAGTATTTTGTTATTGTTATATACTATAGAAGTCTGTCATGAAACTGTATAGTATTGATTCAGAAAGTTGTGGAAGTGTAAATCAATATACTCAATCATTAATCATATAAACAATGTGAAAAAAAGTAATAGTCTTTTCTATTTTTGAAAACAATTCATTTGACCATTGTTTAATATGAAAATCATTTATTTTTGCTTATGAAAATTAACAAGATATTTACCAACAAGTGCAGATATAACAATGCTAGGATCAACGCTGACCACCATCTCTAAAAGAGGACCCATCCCTAATCCAGTGAGGAAAGCAAATCCTAGAAGATATCCCAAACGAAGCGATCGATTCTTGCCATTATCAGGAGTACTGATTAGAGCAAAAATTAATCCAAGTGCTCCAATTGTTGACAAGAGACCAGCTTGCATGATGTAAGTGTACATATGTACATAAGCTCCAACAGCTGCAGAGATGGTAGAAAGTGACAGGCAGCCATAGACATTTTTGAGGTGTTGTCGAACTGGAGCCTCTCTACAGCCAGAAACCATTTGACATATAAGACAATATTGTTTTCTTATTCAAGTACTGATAACAGTTGTTGATTTGATCACAAGATACAATCATAAATTCAAAAAAGACGTTATTACGATCCAACAATAATAGCCAATGTAAATTTGCCACGTGAATTTTTACTAGCTTGCATAAAAAAAGTATCTAAACTAGCTACCCGAAATCGTGCAAGTGGCCTAGCGTATATAAAAATGATAACGAGCTTTCCCGATAAGAGGCTATGAGAGCTCCGCGAGTTCACGACTCGCTGAACATAAGCGCGAGCTAGAAACGGTAGTTACGTCAGAAAAGTTAGAGGAGAAAACTTAGTACATGCAGTTAATCCTTTCTTTTGCGAGCAAATATGTTGTTTCTTTCCCTAGTAGACAAAGAGATATAGCAAATAGTAATTCCAGAAAACCAACGCATTGACCGCTCATTAGTGGCACTTGAAAGTTGCCCGTTCATCGTTCGAGAATGATCGTAAACACACGAAAATTGTTGGATTAGGCGCACGCGCCTGCAATGCGTTTCTTGCCCGAAAATCTCGCTCATCTGACCCAATTCTACGTAGCCTCGAAATAAATACTCACAGTTTATTGTTGAATGAGTTGACGAAGGAATTGAGTGTCGCAGCCATATCTACTTCCTTGTATGTCAGCTCCCGTTTAACTTGTCTGTTGCTGTACAAATTCCACTAAGAATTTACTCAACGAATGTTTCGTTATCTCTTCGATAGCAAAATAAAAAGCTGTAATATATATATGTGCACAGAAAGTCTCGTTCACAGAAGTTGCTTGTTTGTCAAGAAGAAAAAAAATGCAATCACGTACAAAGTATAGAATGACGATTTGATAGATATATGTAAAACGTAGTCGGTTGCAATGCCTCGAATGATCATGAATCCGCGACGGACAGACGTCGCGCACGGGTACGAGGGTGGGGGCAAGGCAAGGCGTAGCTCCGTCCTCGTCGCGCGGGCGCTAAAGGACACGTCAGTAATGATGCTTGTGTGTGTGCGTTACGGCATGCCACGCCATTGGTCGATCGAGCGAGCTTCCGTTTCTACGCCTTGCGCTACCGACTGCTGACAGTGATGGAAGTACAGGTCTGTTGACCAAGCTAGAAAGAGATAGACGCGCGGCCAAGTAAAATACTAAAATGCTGACGACGTGTGTTTGTCGGTGTGCGACACCCGCGAGTTTTGTATTGGCCAGCGTCGCGCGCTAATTATTTCGTCATCTCTTGTCGTTTTCCCTGTTTCTTGCTTTTTGTTTTTTTCTTATTGGCGCATCGCGGGAATAACGTGAAATATTAGCTTATGATGACATTTCAGTGCAAGTGCGTGTAATACATAATCATTGTAAAAATAAGCGCTAGTCAGGTTCATCTGAAATAACGAAGCTGTGCGTAATCTTGTCGGTGGAGTTGGCGAAAATTTCAGGAGCTTTAGATTAGATTGATAAATAGATAAGCGGATTAAAGAGACAGAGGAAAAAAGTGCTAGAAATTTTAGTTTATATAGACTTTGTATTGTAAAAATATGCATACAGACGGTAGCGCTTGGCATGTACTTATTATGTCCCCTGCAGGATCGATGGGAAATAAGCGCACGTGTGTATTATTCATACGGTTGCGAGGGGGGGAAAGAGGGCTTTCCATAAATTGCATTATTGCAGCTTACAACCTAATTATTTTTACCCCATAAAAATGAATAATTCGAAATTAATTTTCGAGACTTGCTCTTACGCGAGGAGCGAACGCGTCGAGCCTTTTGATGAAAGAATTTTTTCCTTTCAACGCGCTCTCTTTTTTGTAATACAGGTTGACGTTATTCAATCACAGCATCGATATTGATGTCATATATAACGTCCAACGTGAACTTATTAATACATTTTTTTTTGAAATTGTGCGATTATTCCCTTGCGATCGTTGATAAACTTTACGTAAGTGTAATTATTTAATTGTCATTTCACGGGCTCTGGAACTTTCGTTTCTATCACAAGTTGTTCAAACATTTAAAAACACACGTGCGCCTTTCACAAATCACATTTCAATCAGGATTCTTATCGATCTCAACAATAATTTGCTATTGTCATATAAATCCTTCGTATTTTTATGTGACAATAGCAAGTGCCAACCATATAATAATCATTCATTTCCATTGATCACACCTTTAGTAGCTTCCGAGTAGGTCGATGCGATCAAAAAAATTATCATTGAAGGAGCAATTTAATTATTCAATCAGACCTAATAAAAAGCCTTTTTCTTTGTAATAATTACAAAATCCTATCGATCTATCTTTATTACCAGAACAAACATCATCAATATTTCATGAAATATCGCACCTCATCATGTTTAGTGTCCAAGAATTATATTAATGTTTTGATCAATCTATGAATATGTAACCTTTTGAAACAGTGACTATTCGATGTATGGTGCATAACGTAGAAAAGTAGATTAGTACGTATATGTTAGCTCGTCACTGCGTCAGACTAGGTCTAACTAAAGTTTACCTGCTCCTACCGACGCTTTTTACCTATTATGTGTACTCATTTTTTGCAGTTTGTATTAACAATTATGATTTTGTACGCTTTGAGTAACAAGAACGGAAACATGTAAAGTTTCTCTTTAATTTATTTATTCGACGATTACCCATGACTATTTCAGCTAAAATATAACACAAATTAATACTCACGATAGGAAACAAAACAAATTATTAAAGAAACCATCATACAATTAATTATTTTTTCATTCCAAGTTACACTAAGTTTCGAGTAAACTATTTTTTTTTTCGAGGTTTGAAAGAATGTCCGTTTTGAAAATAGGTGTTTTTGAAGTTCAAATTTTTAAGTGACATTTGAAATCAATGTCAAACATCAAACATACTTGAAAAAAGTATTGACGCAATAGAGTATATAATATTTGACTTGTAAATAGATACTGTTTTAACAAAGGAAACATGCTTTTTTATTCGTAGTACAACTAATCTTAAATTTTTTCTATTATTATATTATATACTTCCATCATTTTTGTTATAAATTAAGTAACAAGTAGAACAATAAAGTGAAAACAATACATTGGACACAACTACGTATCACGTCGAACCAGTTGTTGATATAAAATACATATAAATTTACATCTCATTCGAAATAAATAAATTATATTCGACAAATTTTTAAGAATTTTGTATAAGAATCTTGTTAGCACTAGAAGAAATTCATTAAGTGACAAATATCTGAATAGTGTAAATTATTGAGCTTCGCAACGCGTTTAAGAGCCTCAATAGCTATATGTCGTATGCTAAAATTATAATTAGTTCTAAATGTTTCCAGTTCGGCAAAATAGCGCTGATAGTAGCAACTACGTTGTTGGTATTTAGTCGTTATGTCTCCATCCATGTTATGTATGCATGATCATGAAGTTAACCTTAAAATTTTGTTGACTGTTTTCCTCTCAAAGCGGGAAGATGTGTATTTGATTTTTAGTTTTTTATGTAGAAGGTTTTATTAAAATGGTTAAATAAAACAGTGTCTTTTTAGAAAGGAAAACGTAATTTTTAAATTGTTTTAATGATCTAGCACATAATAGGAAATATGACTTGCCGTTTTATACTCGAAACAAATAACACACGACAGTACTTTACTGATTTCGAAAAACAATTATACAGTATTTATGACTGTGGTTATTAGTACTGAATTCAGTTCATCTTTCCACGAAATTATTAGTATCGACTTGGAAAAATTAAGAAAAATTTTAATTCATAGAAAATTGAGTTTTATTAATTTTTGAGCACCAAAAAAATGAAGGAAGTTTTGAGCACACAGTCTGCATCAAGTTACAGTAATCATTTCGTCAACAACAATGGTGAAGCAAATCCTAATAGTGTATCTAATGGTACAAACTCAACTAGAAAATATGCAGTTTTGAGCACAGACTGGGTTGCAGCAATTGGAGAAGAGTTAGGAGTTAATCCTTTGCCTGATCCTCTTCTTCGAAAGCTTGCTGAAGATGCATCATATAGATTACGTGAAATTTTACATGTGAGTGCTAGTCTTTTCATCTTTTATTACTTCAAAAAACTTTGAGTGTAATGCAAAATTGCCTTTTAGAAATGTGTCACAAGACTGAGGCATAGCAAAAGAAAACGCTTAACCTCATCTGATGTCAATGCTGTTGTATCTAATCTTTGTGATGTGGATCCATTGATTGGAGCACCAGAACATTTGCCAGAGTATCTTCCTGATGCAAACCTTTTTGTGCCTCATGAGCGTTTTGTAGACTTAGCGCAGAAAGTAAATGAACCTCCCAGTTTTTCTCAAGTCAACATTCCTTATATTCAAGGTAAATATTGATAATACATTAACAAAAAAACAAATTCGATTTCGTAATTGTCAATATTTTATTATAGAAATTGAAATCGTTGACTCAAAGTTATCAGACGCTAGGAATAACTATGCAAAAAGGGCTCTAAAGATGTTGTTCAATGGATCACAAAAAACATTTCAGGTAAATTTTTAGTTCCTGGTGGCAGTAAGCAGTCGACTAAAGATAATAATTTAATGCAGCAATAAAATTTTTAGGTCCTTTTAAATGATTGTGCTACTAATGCTTGTTTGAGTGGAGAGGGTGTTGTAGATAAATTAATGTCCATTGCTAGGACTATGGTGATATCTAATAATGCACAGTATACTCGAGTTTTGACTAGAACCTGTCAACTTATTATTGCTATTACAAATAATAGCAAAGCAGTATATCCGTATCATCTCAACTCTGTAAGAGAAATGTTACAGTCTTAACTATTTGTAATAACAGTAATAATTTCTTTATTTATTTTGCAGGTTGATAAATTGGCAGAGTTATTACTTGAACTTTTATTAGGTCATGGTTTAATTAATCCAAATTTAGAGACTTTATTCAAAGACTGTGCTTTAAAGTTAATGTTACGATGGCCATCTGTGGCTGATAGGTTTATTCCAATGCTAAAAAATGTTCTGACAAGAAGAGAAGAACGAACCTCTCAAACAAAGAAAAAAATAATAGCCTTAGAACTTCTTGCTGGTGTCCAGCCTTACATCTTTCTTGAAGAGGAATCAAACTCACCACTTGACTTAGTTAATGTTTTAAAATTTGCCACGCCAGGTTCAGATATATGGCATAAACTTGCTGTTAGTATATTTTTATCGTATTAAACGGATTTAATAAATCGCAAAATTAAAAAATTGTATTCTTTTTAGTTTACAGTTTGTGCTTTTGTAAAATCTAGTAATCAGCCATTGAACTACTCTGTGATACTTGAAAATTTTGGAGATTCAATCCTTCCCTACTTAATTAATGATGATTTAGCAACGAAGCAGAATCCTGTCAAAATAAATCTTCCAATAATTGTAAGGAGTAAAATAAAATACGCGCCTATTAAACCAAATATCAGTGGAAGGTATACAGACAAACAAAGTGTCTTCCCAGACTCAACATTGCGAGGTTCGAGACGTGAAATAAGGTAAAGAATATACATTTTTATAATTCTGAATAATTTGGAATATGCAAATAATACATTTTTTAATCGATTTTTCAGATTCGCGTTCACCGGTAGTCGTGCTGTTCCGCCAAATAACCTTCGAAGAGTTAGTCTACGAGCAAACTATCAAATACTGAGGAACGAGTCTCAAGCTCCGTATGCTTTAGTCGCATCGCGTCGACTTTTAATTTTTAAACATAAAAAGAAACGTTTAACAGGCGCTTACAATTTGTCAAAAATGGTTCTCTGAAATGTCGAACTTAGTTAACTTTTTTTTTCTTCGAAACGCGAGGCTATTAATAAGTGATCGAAAGGAAAACAAAATCAAAGTTTATTCACACACTTTGTTTTTTTTTGACCAATGTAAAAATGTATTTATATTTTTTAATTATTTATATCAATAAAAGTTATTTTCATTTTGAAACAACTATTATTTTAACAAAATGCGATATATAAAATGCATCAGTTCGTTAGGGGCAATGTTCGCCTATATCCTTGAGGAACTTTTGGCAGTCTGCAATAGTCTTTTCCAGACGCTCCTTTGTTGCGGAACTTTGTTTCTGCGATAATTTTTTACGAGAGCTTTCAATTGAAGCTCTATAACCTGGAATGTTGCGGAATATCTTAATATGACGATCACCGGCTACTAACAGATATTCGCCGAGTGAATCGAATGTGAGGCACTGTATAGGTCCTGAAAAATCGTTCAAATTTTCATTCAGAGTAAACGCTTAAGTAAAAATCTTGGCATTTTTCTTAATGAACGTATATTACCATTAAAGACATCTTCAATCGTTGTATCGAGTTGGCCATTCACAGTTGAGTAAAATGATATTGATGAACCATGACCAATAACGATAATTTCGGCATTTGGTGACAAAGCAATAGTTGCTGGAGTGGTCCCATCCCACTGGCCCGATGAAATCAAACGAGGATCTTCTCCTTTCTCGTACTCAACTAAAAAAGTAAACGAAAAAAAATAATTACACAATTAATCTTTTATTCGCGGATTCTAGCCAAATAAGTATAACTATGTGAAAATACTTTTAGTATCGTAAAAACGATAAGTTCCATCCTTGGAGACTGTGGCCATGCGACTCGTGTCGCTATTAAAAGCAAAGTCGTAAACTCCAGACGAGTGACCAGCAAGATCGAAAGCCTTCGACACCTGTTTGAATTCGCCGGATTTGGTGAAAGCTACTTCCCAAACTTTCACATCAGGGGTAAAGCCTGAAATATAATTTGCAATCACCTTTTCTTCAGTTTATATAACAAAAGATTTCGATAGATTGCGCTGCCCTACTCCTCTATTTCGAAGACGAGAACGAAGTCTGATATAAAAGCCGTTGAGAAAGGCGATTCGTCCACGTATCACAAATCTTTCCAAAATACTAGAACGCACGTGCATATAAAGCGCGTCATAACACATATATACACGGACAATAGGAACAGCAAGTAAAAAACAACAGTATTAAGAATTAACTCGCTAAGCATATATTCAACGTCCGCGATTGCGAGTTTCAACTAATAAGCCTTGCGAGCCACGCGTGGCTGCATTTAATATTGAAAGGGACGCATAATAAATGTTTACCTGACGCAGCGACGAAGTTGCCGCAAGGTGAAATGCGTGCCCGATGAGTCGAGCCAAGAACGGTATCGACAACACTCAGCACCTGGCCCTTCAGATCCCAAATGACTAGGTCGTTAAGTTTGCTGCAAGTGATTATGAATCGTCCATTGCAAGCGATGTCCAAAGCTATTGCATCTTCCTCGTGACACTTGGGAAATTCGAGGGCTTTGCTTGCCGAAGCCGCCGTGCCGTCAGGCTTTTTCGTCACCTTGTATACCTCGATCACATTGGCTACGGCCTTATGGATGATAAAAGCTTTGCCGTCGGGCGACCAGCGTACCAAGCTCGCATGGTCGTATTCGATGTTCACTCGAAGTGACTTGCGCTCCTTTGACGACAGATCCTTTGTGCACCACAACAGCACCGTGCGATCTGAAATCGACAAATCACATTCATTTTTTTCATTATTCGTGACGCTCATTTTCAATTTAGATAATCCACCTATGACGCTCCCATCAACTGTTTTCTCTTATGCTTACTGTCATTCTCATTTTTCAAATGCAAATCATGATAATGATGACTATGTCAAATAGGAGTTTTATTTGCATTTTTAGCGGTTCAATTGGAGCTAAGTATAGGATAGAAAAAGACATTGCATTTGCCGATGATATATTCACGAGAATGGAAAATTTTATCAAGTTTTAATTTATGCTGTTTTGAAACTCAAGGTTATTGATTGGACGGGCATATATTAGTTTTCGTTAAAGGATAGAAGATTCGAATGAAAAGGATATTTCAATAAATAAATGCTGATATTATAGATTCATAGAAACGTTCGTTTTATTTCTTTATTGTACGAGTAACATTGTTTACACTGCAATTAATAATAAGAATTAATCTACGATATTTAATCTACGGGTTTTTATCATCTATAATTTTTAGGCGGCGGTGGCATAAGTTCTGTGTCGTCGTAAAATCTGTGATTAACGATATAGTCTAAAAGATACTGCTTAGTTACGGGATTAGCGATAGAATTACAAACTGCTTTGGCAGTATTATACGAATTGGGAAAGGATTTGTCAGTTCTCTCCCTCATAAACACCCATTGTCCATTTACACACTTGCACTCGATAATTTTATTATTCAGCTCTTTCATCTGCTTCGTTATTTTCATTTTGTCAAACGGCACCGGAAGTCCACCAACGTACAAATGACCAATCGAACGACGCAAGATTCCTTCTCCCGATTCTACGACTATTTTTAACTTAAAATCTACAGAATTCAACGATAATGGCTTCCACTTTAAGACGTCGGGACACTGATTTGTTTTGTAAGGTTCCTTGGATGGTTGAAAGATTAAACCATCCGGTTCGTGAGTGAGCTGTCTAGCAAATTTTTCCCCTAAAAGATTATTGGCTTGTGTTACATCCCAAAATTGTTTCAATCTGATCGAGAAAGGCTCCTGCTCTCTAATTATTCGACCTTCCTTCATTGCTCTTACGCGACCACCGATGATTTCTCTTTCGATAATGTTATATCGATTTGGATGAAACGGTAGTTTACTGACGTCTTTACCGTCGTACATGATCACATCGTAAGCAAGATATCTAGGGTATTTCTTGCCTTTGTCTTCATCTATTACCATTTCCTAAAAAATAACAGTGACATGTGAATATGTTATACATAAAACATGTATTCCTCTTATAAAAAAGAGAACCGGACAAACTAAAGCCAGTTTATTCAGTTATTGAAATATTAGCATTGAAAAAATGCAGTAATTACAACCGTGAACGTCTAGTGTAATATATTATTTGCGTCGTAAATAATACGATTATAGAAAACTGTAATGTGTTGAGATGTTTTAGAAACTTTTTAATGATTTTTCAACATAGAATTAAAACTTCATTGATAATATTTTTCAATCATGAATATCAACGTAACTGCATATTTATTTACCAATAAACAATAGTCGGCTATATATTGTATCAAATCATGAGAATATTTAATGCATATTAAATTTTCGATTTTCAACTATAAAAGTTTTAATTTATATTCATGCATGAAAATGAATGCGAAAAAAGATGGAAAAGATTGCAAAATAGGTATTATTAGTTATTCAAAATGCTTACCCCATCTAAAAGGGTGTCTAGTAATCTCCTGTTGCAATCGCTGACGTGAAGAAAGGTAAGCGTTTTTACTTCGAAAACGCTATTGTCTCGATCGATGAAAAACACTTGGCCATCTCCCTGAATAAGCATCATATATCTAGTACCATCAGCTTTCCAAGAAACTCTGTAAGGCTTTTGATTAAGCAGATGAATGTTTTCCAAGTCCATAGAAACAGGCTGAGATCCAGGAAAGCCAGAATCCTTCCAGTGGCATATTTCTTGCACTCGTCTTTGTATACCAGAAGCTCGCTGAAAGTCCAAAATCGGTTTGACTCCTGGAACTCCTTCCATGAAAACTGGATTCTTATTAAAGTGATCCTTTTTCCTCTTTTTACGTGCTGGTTCAAGTGAATCCGAGCCTTCTCCACTTTGATCATCATCTCTCTCTTCACCATTAGAATCATCATACTCTAAGCACCACGCAGGTCGTGGCGGCGGACCAGGTGCATCATTGGGATCATCGAGTCTTTGATATAATTCTAAAATATAGTCACCCTTATAAATACCAGGAGGTCTAGCTTGAGCAAATAGTGCCAAACACGCATCAAGACTGCCCTCATCAGTTTCTACAAGATAGCTAACTATAAGAAATCCAGTTCTATTGAATCCATGGGTACAATGTACACCAATAATCTCTAATGGGTTATGTGCAATGAAGTTTTTACAAACTTGAACAAATGTTCTTGTTTGATCTACAGAAGGAGTTTCTTCGTGACCCCTGCATTGCAATTTTAAGTAACGTATACCATTTTTCTCTACTTCAGCCTTGTTATAGAACCGAGATGTGTTTGTTAAATCTATCCATAGACCTATCTTTTGCCGCTGGCTCTTTAATGATGCGAGTAGCATGTCTATTGAAAAGCGATTTTCCTCTGGTACTTGACTGTCATATTCCGATGACAATGGTGTTTTGAAAGCAAGGAACTTATTATTGATAAGTTTGATAGATTTTCGAGGACAATGAAGCCAACGATCTGGGATTGTTCCCCTGCCATCTTCTCTATTCCAATTTGACATCTTGTACTGATTCTTCTGTATACTAAATATCTGTATCCATGGAGAAGTCCTCTACAAGCCAACTGTAAAAATATTTAATTTTTATTATGCACAACAGAGATAATAAGACATATTTTTAATTGAAAACAACTTTTATATCACTTAATTCAGTAACAATAAAAATATGACTTATAAACACAGTGATTTAAAAGCAAGCTGTAGCAAAAGGTAGAAACAAGAGTCAAATCTAACCTTGATCCAGTAAGTCAAACGGTGGAAAATTAATGAGAATGCTACGTTTTTCAACGTGCTCTCGGAGCGCTTGTTACTATAACTGTAATCTAGCAATAATACATAGATATTGTGCAATATCTAACACTGAAAAACTCGCAAAATCAATCGTGAAAACACAGCTGTCACTGAAAGTCAATGTTCGTCGTTGGCTTCCGCCATGTTATTGAGGGTTTTTCCGTCTGGAGAGCGACGCATGAACTAACGAGTTGATGTAGATCGTAGATATATATTGCCCGTAGTTAAGAATCGGTCATTAAAATCACCGAGCATGAATGAATACTCCATCTCTTAATAGTCAATACAGTACAAAGCCATGAAAGATGTACTATGAATCGACGAGGAGATCAAATTC